CCGGCACGTTGTTGCAACCCGAAAAACAACAGAAGCACCAACAATTACTGCAGCATTTGCAGATGGTGTTGACTGACGCGAAGCAAGACCCTCAAGCTCCATGTGAAGTGTTGGAGTATTTCCTCAGGAGGTTGAGTTCACCCCAGACTGGCAGCAGAGCTCAAGCTATCAAAGTAAGTGCAGGACTCACAGCAGTGCGGCCGGCTACCAAAATCAGTTCCAGCCGCAATAATCATCCTTGATTTTTGTTCCATTTGGTTTGTTCTTGTTAATTTGGGTATTTCATGTTTGTTCTCAGTCTGTATTCCTTTATAAACAGTGACGACAACTTTGGATTCTTGTCTGTTTCAGGGTTTGAAGCTGGTGCTCTCTTCAGTTTCGATGGAGGAGGAGGCCATGGAAATCGACAGTCAGCAAGATCCTAATGGCGATAAGTAAGATATATGATTTTGCTATGATGTGTGACTGGGCATCTGTTAATATAGAAGTGCTGGTGTACAGATTTATTGGAACCAGCATACTTGAAATTTAACATGTATTCCTGTTACGTTTCAGCTCGTGGCTGCTCCGCCAGCTGCCTCAGTTGCCCCACTTCCTCGACGTGCGCCCGCAGGTCGTGCAAGCCCTGCGACAAGCCTGCCAAGTAGAGAACGATCCGGCGTTAGTTAGTAGTTACATCTACTTCCTGGCCCTTCATACGACACATGACAGTTTACCTGATCTGGCAGACCTTGTGCTGGTGAGTTGGCTATGTAGAACACTGTCAAGTACCTCTTTAAGGGCACTGTTTTTCAACGAGTGCCCTGTAGGCCGTGGCCAGCGTGACTGAGCAAATGATGAAGGTGAGAAGGTGTTATTTTGGAATTCACTGAATCCCTCAGAAATATGAGGTGGGCTGTGTCACAAACTCCGGATCCTTGGAAGATGGATGTATCTGATGGATTATTTGATGATAAGACTTGAAAGTTCTTATGATGGTATGTTGCAATAAGCTCGAATGTTATTTTGGACATTGTCTGTCGTCTTGATTATTTGTTAAAAACACACAACGTTTCAGAAACTGGATGCATCCCTGTTATTATGTGAATTTAGGAGAGAGGGGTGTCTGCTCTGGTGTGTCCAGTGATAGAACGTGTCTCAGTCTATGGGACCAATTAGGTTAGGAACACCTCTCCTATCATCGCCTTATAACAGGGACGGATCCGTTTTCCGAAACACTGTTAGACGCAAGGTGATGGATAGAATTCAGAATAACATTGGGGCTTAAAATTGTTTCATAATCTCTCATGTATAATTTTTAATTTCAGTGTGTGGTTGTAACATCTCTTTGAATTAGATACTGTATATTCAGTACTTTAAAAAAAAACATGTTGCACATTCTGGTAGTACAGTAATTATTAATATTTCGGCATTAATATTCTTTGGCCTGTTACAGAAGCTGTTTCCTCTTAATATTTGAATACTAACGTAAAGAAGATGGACCTTATGTGTCCAGCTTGACTGGTTTCCGTGCTTTAAATTTAGAATCACGTTGACATAGTATGTATTATCCTTTCACAGGATATGGCCCAGCTAATTGTGGAGAGGAGTTCTATCGTGGCAGCGATCTTGCCGGCCCCAGACCAAGAAGTTCCCGGAGCTCTGATCACTCTGAACGCGCTGATGCTCATGTTCTGCTCATACCTGCAAAAGGTGAGGTACAGGCAGTAAACTCTGGATTACGTCTCATTCAAGATTTCAGGCTCTTACATCAGTAGATATGAAGATGTCCGTCTTATGGGTTGTGCTTCATTGTCTGGTAGTTGTTTACTGTCGTTTCAGGGGTGCCTGATCACCCTGGGAGGAGGCAGCAAGCACCCGCCACTGAAACATCAATAAACTATGAGACTACACAGTGTTACAACCCAGAAGATAGTTAGAAAATTATTTTTAAAAATTTTGCTCCAAAACAGATGTCAATCTATGCTGTAATTTTTCTGGGATTTTAGGACTTCCAGCTAGGGGACCCTTCTGTGGACAGTGACCTTTAATTAAGTACATGGTTGGAATTGTAGCAGTCAGAGTTACATGAAGTAGTGACTGATTATTGCTTATTTCTGTAGTTAGATACTTTTTTTAATTTTCCAATGTGGTAGGAGAGGTCACTCCAGAATAGAACTGGCAACCAGTCAAATCTATGGTGATTTTGCTGACGGAAAGCAACGATGCTCTTCGCTATTTTCAGGCAAGGGAACCTAGACGTGAGGCCTATACGTGGTCTGAAAGCCAGGATCAGATTTTGGTGACTTGGAGCACAGGAGAGGAGTCAACGATGCATATTCTGGTTGTACATGCCATGATCATCTTATTGAACTATGGGCCAGGACTGGGTAAGCATTGCAAGAAGTTCTGATATAAACTTACCACTAATTTAATATTGTTAGCAAACCTCTCCAGTTTATGTGTAGGTATCTCGTATGGTTTCTTTCTTGAAGTATCAAAAATAAAATTTTTATGCAGTTTTTGTTTCCTCCATGAATGCCTGTTTCATCCTTTATTGAGTTACCATGACAGGATTCAGTGAAGACCCTCGTGTAATATTCTCAGTAAGAAGGAGGACTTCAGGGCAAACATGATTGTCTAAGTTATTCTCGCTGAACACTGAAGATACCGAGCAAATATTCTCATATACCCTTTATCTGTGTCCATCACGACGTGAGACAAAGTTTTGCACTCGTGTGAATCAACAGTACTAAATACTTCATACGAGTTCTGAAGTTGCTTTTGTGTCATCCGACAGATTTGAATCTTTTTGAGAGTCTGTTGGAAACATGGTTTCCACTCGGCAAGGAGACTCCCAAGGCTTATTTAGTGGATACATCAGAAGAAGCACTGCTGATCCCTGATTGGCTGAAACTTAGGATGATTCGGTCCAATGTGGATCGTTTGGTGGATGCGGCACTTACCGACCTGGAACCGCCCCAGCTTGTGCTCTTCATTCAATCATTTGGAATTCCGGTCAAATCCATGAGGTAATTTTTAATGATTTGGTTGTTTGTATATTTGTGGCCAAAGCCCTGTCTTACACAGTGCCAGATCTTTACAGCCCACAAAGGAAGTGAAACTCCATGTTCACATTTTTTGGGGACTGAAGAGTTGCAGGAAATGCAGAAATCATAAACTTGGTGATGCCTTCACCTCAGTCCTTTATTGTAATGCTTAGTAAATGATGTGGGTAAAGTATTAAGCAAAATATGAGCATCTTTGTATCAAATTTCTGTAAAATACATGGAAGTTAAAATTATTTGTCAAATGTTATGAAATCTTTTGCACAGAATGAGAATTATTTTACTTCTTAAGGAAAGAATGTGATGTCTTCCATGCTGATTTCCTTCTTTTTCTCCGTGATGTGACAGGTTTCTTATTATGATATTCAGAAATGGTGGTGAGAATCAACGTTAGGCACAAACATGAACAGACAGAGCTGTTTGGAAAAGTACATTCTTGTGATGCAATCCACTTGTCTGGCCAAAGATTTCATTTTTTTGACAAATGTGTTGCTGTAAACATTCCAAAACTTGAGTGCGAAATGCTTTATTTACTGTTTTGGAGTAACAGACGTGTGGCAATAGTATTTGCATCCATTCACAGTAAACTCCTGCATACTCTGGATGAAGCTGTAACTGCAGATCCATTATCTGTGGGTGAAGCGGTACTGGACAAGAGCTATATGGCACAGCTGGTTGAAGTTCAGCATCATCGCGGCGCTACCGGAGGACAGATGCTTGTGCGTGTTGTTCAGCTGGAGCAGCCCAAATTACCAGGTTTGTGGCAAGAATATTCTGACTGCAGCAGCAAATGTGTGATGCAAGTTAGGCATGAAGAAAACTTGGTCTCTCCTGAGCAATGCTTAGTGAGATGTGTGACTTTCATGGCCACAATTATGAAGATGACTGTCTTCTGGGTTGTTGCGTCTCATAGTCTGGTACGAGTTTACCATATTTTCAAAGGTGCTTGCTGCGTCCATCATCATTACTCGTCGCCCTGGTGATGGAGGCAGGAAGTATATCTGAAACATTAGGTAAACTTCTACCAGATTACACGGCGCAACAACCCAGAAGAGACGGCCGTCTTCCACCCCAGATATACATCAGTTTTCTTCTATGTGTTGTATCAAACCTACAGACACGTATCAGAACACTTTGTTTTGTTGTGTAGATTACTCTAGGCTGTGCCCCACAACACCTCGACCAACTCTCCCAGTGGCCGCTCTGTCAAATAAAGACAGAACGAAAGTTGAACATCAGATGGATGCAAAGCAAGTTGCTTCCATATTGTTACAAATCTTTGGGAGTGTAACCGTGGAACCAGAATGGAGTAAGGTTGAAAAACAGCAAGCATTCAGGACCCTGCAGAAGGTAAATTTAATTTTCATGTGTGGATTATGAAAATAAATAATTTAGAAACAAAACCTAGCTTTGCATATGTCTGTATTCTCTCACTGTTGTAATGAAGTGCATCAGAAAGGTACCAGAGAATTAACTTAGAACAAATTCATTTTGAATATATTTCCATTTTTTAGGGATGCTGAAGCATACAAGTAGTCTTTCGCATAAACCTGTTTAGATTCATCACAAGTTCATTATTCTCCGCTTGATTATATTTGTGTGGCATTTTAATTTTCCAATTTTCAGACATTGGCAGTTGAACTGCAGCAGTTAGTGGGAGAAAAGAAAATACTAGTCTCCACAATTGCGTTCTTTGATGAAGTTTTAAATTCACCAAGATCAACGCGGTTCGTCAGTTCTCTGCTTCATACACCGCAGCTGGCGTGCCCATTACTGCGCCTTATGACTACAACAGCTGTAAGTGAAAATTGTATCGTACTGATGAGTGTAAATTGAAAGTAATGTCTTTATTACCTACAGTATACACGACAATTTTTATGCCAAGTTTTTTGCCTAAAACTAGAACAGTGATCTGTTTTTTTGGTTCCAGCTATTCGTGTTCACAGAACACTGTTTATACGTGACAGTACATTTGACTTCGTAGATTATAAACTGATTGGTTCATATGACCACAAAAGGAATATGGCAACTTGAAGGCCTGATATGAAAGAATTCCACAAATTTTAACAAAACATGAATTACTTTCATTTTCAGTCAGATACATATTTACATAAAAAGGTTTCTCAGAACTCACACAGAGTGTGGGGCATAATTTTCATTATTTTCAGATAAAGTTATCAAGTAAACCACTATCTAGAAAATTGTCATCACATTTTAGCTCAATGGAAGAAATCAACAGACAGAAGGTGATTACTTCTGATACTCATTTGATAATACATTTTGGCATATTCAAAGCCTTAACAGAGAATCATACACAAAAATAACTGCTTTCTGCAGGAAAAATAATTTGGTATTTTTGTGAACTTTTCGTTTCAGGCGAAGGCCAGCAACTCACACAATGTGGTGCAGTCTCTAGTTGGTATCTGTCAAGGCATTATGAGAACTGTGAGAGACACCAAATCTCCAGTAGTGGCCATTATTAAGCACTTCTTATGCAAACACACATTGAAACGTGAACAAAAGTCTCAGGTAGTTCAGCTGTCATCTACAGAAGACCCATTTCAAGGTACTGCAATGTCTTAACGTCTCAGTGGTTGATCTTAGTAGAGCGTGTGCCCTCTGAGCTGTTTTTAGAAGAGTCAAGTAACATATTTGGATGCTCAGCCCAAGGTTTTAAGAATTTTCTCATTTAAAAGTAAATTGAATAATGAAATGCACTTTATATCAGCTGTTCAGAGAGAGTTTAGTAGCATTACTTCTGTTTTTCAGGCACAATGCAGTAATTTGGAAGTTGGCTGAAATTCATCACGCTTTTTACCGACAATTTTAAGAGTATTACATTTTCTGGTATAAATTCATCAGGGCTGTGAGAACTTGAGATTATGTTAGTCTTATTTGTTATCAGTTACTGGTATTGCTTACTAACAACTAACTTCATGGTGCAGAATCCTTCTTGTATAGCTGGCGGTTGCTTAGCTGGTAAAGAAAGTCTTTAAGACATGTAAACAGAACGCACTCGCTATTAATGAATAATCTCCTACATGCATTTTGTATTATTTTGTTATATTTCTTCTAGTTCTTCAGCAGAGCCCTATTTTGAAGTTGGAACGAAATGGGCAGTTATTGCTGGATGAGGGGTTAAAACTGCATCATACAGAGAAATTGGTTGAAGCAATGGGTAGGTTGCTGCTTCAGGACACAACTGGATCTTCAACACAGATTGATAACATGGCGTCTTCTGAGTCGCGTCTAGCCAGACCTGAACGGACTGGCTTGTTAATAGACTGGCTTGCTTCAGTTGAACCTGAACTTATTGGCTCATGTACATCATTACAGGTAAACCCTAAAAGGAATTATGGTTATAATTTTATATTTATGAGAATGTAAGCCACGTGTATATGATTTTATGTCCATACATCAAGATTTTGTTCCTGACGTTATTCCGAGTCAGAAATGTCATATGGTCACAGGTCAAATTCTTAATGGTTCCATTGCTGAGGACAGGAATTTAATGTGATTTCATCATACACAAACATCGTCAAAATTGTAATTCCATAATGATGGCACATCACACATTTTAGAAGATGCATGAAGGAGTACCCGAATGAGCAGTGCCCTGTCCAGTGGATATACAAAGGTGATCACAGAACTGGCCAACTGTTGGCTCACAAAGATTTTGAAAGCCTAGTTCACATGTGTCTGTGTTTCATGTGATATTTTTCACCAGGGCTGTGGAGTCGGTACTAAAATCTCCGATTGCGGTTTTGACGCCGACTCAGACTCTAACCCTGACCTGACTCCTTCATAAAAGAACAATATGTATTAATAAGGGTAAACCTACTAAAATGTAAATGGCACCATAAGAGAATTCATCACAAACATGTGAATCATCAGCCTTCTTTTTAGACTTATAACCTATATTTAAATATACGTCTAATGGTTATTGCAGAAATCATTTGTTTTGTAGACAGTTTGTATTCTTAAGGTACCGGACCCAAAGTTACAAAGCATTATTCCCACACCATGTGGCTCAACGGATTATTGAATTTCTCTAAACGTGAGGCCACACGGCTTACACGGTATATTGTTCATGAGATCTGATATCGAGGTCTGTGTAGGAGTTGGTACATATTTACAGACTCTGACTCCACCTAATATTGCTTTTGACTACGACTCCACAGCCCTAGTCGTGTCTGTGACATGACTTTGATTTGTACGCGACCTCAATGATACAGGAGTATGTTCACCAAGATATATATGTTTCTTCAGAATTAGGTGTGGAAAAAATTCCTTTTATAATGACCGTGAACTTTAATGACATTGACAGATACGTGACCACAACATACATATCCCGTAATAACAAAAGCTAAAACGATACAAACCTAACCACACAACGCAACATAAGGGACCAAAACATAACCTAACACATCCCACTCAAACCTAACCTAACCTAACCCAATCTAATCCACAACACAACCTAATCCAATGTAACTTATCCCAGTCAAACTTAAACGAATCCAAAACAACCGACCCGCATAGGATCAAACCCACCACCACTTAAGGACGACTCTGACTCCACAGCCTTGTTTTTCACTTGGCTGATGAAAGGAATGCAGATGTGGTAACATTGAGTGTGGTAATTAGCTGTGTGGAGCAGTGGTGCTATACCTCCACTCCACCATACATCTTCATAGTTATGCAACAGGGACAACTTTACTTTGTTTTTATGTAACATTTAATTTTGATGTTCATACACTTGGGTGTCTCTTTTTTGTGTGTTTAAGATGCAACTTCTGTTTTCTAAATCTCCTAACAATCAAATCGCAGCTTCCAAATTGGGAAGCCCCGCTACACAGTCGTGTCGGCCGTATCTTCTGACTCTGCTGACACATCGAGCTAGTTGGACAACGTTACACCACTGCTTACAAAATCTGCTTGATGGGGGTGATCAGAAGTACGACCCGGCAGCTGTGCTTGACTTTCTGTGGGCTCTGACCTGTAACCCAAAACTTTGGCAGGGGCGTGAGAAGTTTACACCCAAACATCATTCTCCAGAAGATATACTGAGGCTCACATCAGCTCAGGTAGGCTCTGTGTCATTTCTTATTAATCCGAGGTAGTACGATGTCCATTCTTTTAGGTCGTACTTGGGTATGGAGTATACAAGATTGGATTCAGAATTACTGTTGATATTGATTGCACGAAGTATTATGCAGTACTTACAGTTGCTAATGTGTATTGGTGATAATTAGCACAGCGTGTATTTGTTTGAGTAATGTGCAATCCCTTTTTAAAATGCCAAAAATATACACATTTACGTTATTATGGTCTTCTTTATGTTACTTGCATGTAACATTTTCTTCTTTTGCTTCTTCCTATGCTCTTTCTCATAGAGAGGCTCGAATTATAGGAATTAATTTTGTTAACTGTAACTTCCTCTCACTTGTGATTTCATGCTCCAGAAAATTTTGTCATATAATTTACACATCCCACTTTAGAGAAAGGAATCCTTCGAGGGTAAAAATTCTTAAATTGCATCAGTAAATGCAGTTACTTAAATCACAATGCTTTTACTAATAGAAAAGTATTGTTTGCTTAACTTTTGACAACTTATCTTCCTCTCTCCTTGTGAGAAAATCATTGTGTTGTTTTGCTTTATTGTTTCAGACTCTGGCGTTAGTTGGTTATATTGTTGAAGAAGCCGTCATTACAGATGCAGAAGGTGAAAGTCTTTCACGACAGAATGCGTCAGATAAGATGGAATCTCGCCTTCCTCTGTTACTGCAGTGTACCAATGATGGACAGGAGATGGCAGCAGTGGCCAAATATCTTGTTGACATTATGTCTGGTAAGACAGGGTCAGTATTTAAATGTTTTAATTCTGTCTTAAGAACCATCAAACTCTTTGCAGCGTTGGGCTTCGTTGTTCTGAACTGTATTGACATTTGATTTCCTCCAAATTTAATGTGATTGGTCATTTTTATATTGATATGAAGATGGCTGTCTTCTGGGTTGTTAAACCATGTATTCTGGTAGAAGTTCACCATCGTTTGGAGATGTGCTAGCTGCCTCTAACATCACGGCAATGATGAAGGTGGTAGCAAGCATCTCTAAAATGTTCTTCATACTCACCACTGTGAAAATCTGAAATGTCAGTGATATTCGTGTATATTCAATTACTTTTATCAATCATATGTATGTAGTGAGAGAGTTGTATAAATTTCTGAAGCCTTTACATGATCTAAGTTCAAAAATGCTTTACTAATTACAACCATGTATTGATCGTATTGTAACGCTCTTGACGGATATATAGAAAATTTCATCGTGAGAACTACTGGGGAGAGATATGACACATTGTAGATCAATAAATAATAACCTGCATAGGAACAGAAACCTTGTGACCTCGTCTTTCAGCACATTATAGATTTACTAAAATATTGGCTGCAAGACGGACACCGTAAGTTAGCGTTGCTATGGACATACTCGTGTCAGCATGTGATGTGGAAGGCCTGCCATACTCAGTGTGTTGGATGTGCATGATTGGTTAAAATAGGCCATAATGACCTAACCTAATCCACATCCTTACTGACACCATTCATTTTCATCTTCCCATATCATTCAGCATTGTCACCTTCATAATTGAAACATAATTAATAATAGCCTAAGGATCAATTCAAATAATCCATTGATGTGTATTTTTTAGGTTGAGGTCGGATGTCGCGAATCATTTGCTACTGAAACTTTACTTCCGAATTCCTGGCGTGATCCAGCATCTCACTGATGTAGAACTGGACAAGTTCCTAGCTGGGGCATGTGTTACTGGTAATGTAGACATACCAATATTGGACACTTTAAACAACACAAAATGAAAAAAAGGGTTAGATTTTTAAAAGATATTTTTCAGGATTTCATTTTATTATGTACCAAAAAGGAGGCAAGATGTCGGAAGACCAGAGCAGGGATGGAGACGCCAGCTTTGAATCTCAGAACTGATCCTGGAGATCCAGTCGTTGGCAGTAAAGAAGAAAAGGAAATACTGCTACATAATTTTGATACAGTCTTAAGTTGGTGCCTTGTCGCAGACAGTCGGTCACTGGCTTCTCATCGTGGAGGCACTGCATTATTCCACCGTCTAGCAGAGAAAGAGGGAGTACAAATATTCGGTGACGTGATTGGCGACAGTAATGAATGTGCGTGTTTAGCGACGGATGCGTTGTTTCCCATTCCTTAAAATGTAACGTGTGTTCTTGTAGAGTGGAGCAGCAGCGTCCTGGATGGCATGTCTCACACACTCTTCACTGCTCTTACCGCGACGTCGCAGAACAAGGACTGGACCAGACGTTCGCAGGAGTATGAGCTTCTTGCCCGTAAGATGGCGTCGGTGCACCCGGTATTGGTTTTAAGGTAAACAGATGCCACCGTCGTTACTTTTCAAAGAAATTGCTTGTTCTTTATCCCATTATCTATGGGGTGACAGTGGCATGTCAGTTTGAACATGTTCCTTGCATTTGACTGGTGGAGTGTACAAATAATCTGTATTAAATGGCAGAATAATAATATGTATGTTGTAACATACTCTTATATGATTAAATGAATACATGATAAAACACCAGGGATTTCAACCATTTATAAAACATGGACAATTTAAAGTCAAAGCAGACTTTAGATGGAGTGATAATGTCGATGGTTATTAGCTGCAGTTCTAAGCTTCAAAAAGTTTTGATTTTGCAGTTTATGATTATTTTGTTGAATGAATGTTGCGAATCTGTTGCCCGTCACATTTTCCCTGTTTGAACATTTTGTGGTTGGTGTTACTTGTCCTCTGCTTTGCGTTGTAACATAGTTTGTACTTCAGAGCTACAGATAAGAGTTGCGTTTAAAATATTTTGGTCGAGGATTCATACGCAGATTTGAAGGTGGAAATTATGGAATGTTTGTGATGGCCGGTTTGATCTTGTGTTACAGGCAGTTACCTATGCTGGCAGCTTCACTGAGGGGGAGAGTACATTTGGACTTTTCCGTATTTCGATCGCGGAATCATCTGAACCTCTTCCAGCAAGTTGTAGGCATTCTAGAGTTGCTGCAGCCGCACATCTTTTTACCGGCATACTCGGAGGGGCTAGAAGATACCTTCCACTCATATTTTGCTCTTTTTAAGGTACTGGATGAAGTCTCTGCAATTCAGGGCTATTTATTCAAGTTAAATTCCAGCTGGACTCAGGCATTTAAATGTTAAATTTAAATAGTATTGAACACTTGCTTTACAATAAAGATTAAATGTGAGAAAATTACCAAGAATAAATTGTGACTTAAGACAGCCATCTTCAGACTCACTGCCACGAGAACATCAAATCCTACTAAAATGTGACTGTCTGGGTCAAGGCAGAAATTACTCTATGCAAGTCATTTTAAGATTTCATAGATCCAGTCTGCATCTAATGGAGAGGCTGTTGGTTGTGGATCGTGTGATATCTGTAAAGGAGATGAAACAAGATTTTATGTCGGTTTTTGTATTTCATACATATTGTGGTATTGAACTATCTATCTCTCACTATCTAATATATAAATTCCTTGCATAGGTTACAATGAGAAAGTCAAAAATGTCTGATTGTATGCATTGTGGAAACAATTTTTTCATGAGGCTTGACACTGCAAAATTAAAATAGTGCGTTCGTATGAAATTGATTTAATCTGGTTTACTGTCCGTGACCTCCATTATGTTTTTATGTGTCCCAAAAAGAAATGTGCATATTATAAAATGGTAGCCGCTTGTAAGTCAGTTGCTCATTGCTCTCGGGTGTGCCACGAAGTTAATTCTTGTCATTTTGAACACCTACACTAAATTTTCCAGTTTACTAAGTGCAAATATTAATGTATGTAATGATTTAGTTTATTAAAATGTGTTTATTTCATTCATTAAATGTGTGTATGTATCTTTCTGGGACACTCTGTATATTTGTTTAAGACTATGAAACATATGAGGAAACCCAGGTTCTGTTGTATGTTGAGTGGACTCCTTGAAGTGTCATATAATACATGATCATAGTTGGACCTTCCAACATTTGGGATCAAAATATAATGTCAATGTGCTGGGTAAAATGCTGCTGACAGCTTCAGAATATCAGACGTAGTGTGGCTTGTATTTGCGTTTCATTTTCTGTATGACCAGGAATTCTGTAGTCATTGTCATGGTTACTCATTATGATGTCATCAGAATTTCAGAATTCCCTTTTCTTAACGTGATAGATGCAATGATATCAGTGTGTGCGTGCTTGTGTCAGCAGTGTAGTAACACAGTCATGTGTCTTTTTGCTTAGTATCATGGACATATGAAGGATCTCACGTCTCTCCTCAATCGCTTCATCTCATTGCTCCAAGGTTTTATCTCGTACGATGCCCAGAGAGCCTTGAAGTACCTACAGAAGCATGCACACATCCTCAAGTAAGTTACTTGCAACTAATTATACTATACAGTTGAAGAATATTAACAGTTTTATGTTTAGAAATGTGCACAATTTTCAGTTCAAAGAAAATTCTTATAACATATTTTTAAGCCAGAGGGTATTTATTCTGAGTGAGTTTATAAGTTCTTATTGTTTCAAGTATGAAGATGTCTGTCTTGTGCGTTGTTGCACCACGTAGTCTGGTGGAAATTTGCCGACATTTTAGAGATGCTTGCTGTCTTCATCATCAGGGCAGTCGGCAAACTTCTACCAGACTACGTGGTGCAACAACGCACAAGACAGCCATCTTTGGTATTTATTCTGTCCATAGGGATGATGAGAATTACGTAAAAGTCATATCTGAAAACTGAAGGGGGAGACCTAGGTATAGATTGGAGGATTATGTGAAAGTTGATCTGATAGAAATAGAATATGTTGGTGTAGACTGCGTTCAGCTGGCTCATATAAGAACGGTAATGGACCTTCAGGTTCCATAAAGGACAGGGAACTATTGACCAGCAGAGGACCATCAGTTTCTCAAAGACTCTGCTCCTTGGAGTGTGTGAGTAGTTGGTTAGTTAATTAGGGTCCTTTATCCTTTGTGAAGACCCTTTACATTACCTAAAATATGTCTTCTCAGTTTCTTGAGTTTTGTTCAGCATTTACATATTTCCAATCCATTTATGCAGATATAACAGAGGCCCATTACAAATACAATTTTTTGAATTTTATCAGCTGTCTAATACTCTGACTGTGTATATCAGAATATATTGTGTTGTTAGTCTTGCTTAATGCCACAAAACACGCCTTTTCTTTGTACTAAATTTATTATTGATTTAGGAAAGCTTTAACTTCTTCCAAAATATCTGACACAGTTGATAAGACTTGCTCTACAGTAATCTACCGCTGGCTTTCAAGACATGTTACAATTCCAGAACACACTTAATTGGGCAAATATACCATCTAGTAGGTTTGTCAAATGGAGTAAATTTATCTTCTGTAATATTCAAGGTAAGAAATTAATTTGAAATTGTAAAACAGCTTTTGTGTGTTTGTGTGAAAGTAAAGGAATTTTCTTTCCAATTAGTGCAGTTTGTAATAATGATATTTCTGTCCTACCAGCGATCTGCAGATGTATCATCAAAATTTGCCGAGTTTGCGTGCTCTTCTCTCGGGTATTTCTCTACCCAAGACCGATGATGAGGGAGATGAAGTGATCGTTGCTGTCGCAGCTCCTCCCATTACAGCCGATCCGTCACCCGCGTGGACTCCGAGACTGGCTTCTCTCAACAAGATGCAAGGAGATGGTAATATTGCAGTTGTCATTTCAGGCTGGCACTTGACTTAATCACAGAGTTTAAGCTTTTCTTTTAAAGAGCACTTTCCTTCAATTTGCAAGGTACAGGTCCCACTTTTGTACATTTGTACTGTCCTAGAAAGTCAAGAACCATTTTCTAGTATATTACTTCATCTCACAACCATTATTTATGTAAATCACATTATAATATCTACGTCACCTCTGCTGTTTAAACATTCCCTCAGTGAATTTAATTTTTTGTGAACTGTAATTTTAATTCTAATACTTTTCTGCAGATGTGTATACAGCTTTGCAAGAGTTGGACCACCTGTCATCTCGCAAGCCTTCAGTTCTAGATGCATTCTGTGAGCCTATATCTGAGTTGCTGCTCTCGCCCACCAGTAATATACGTGTTCTAGCCCACGTGCTGTTGACACGACATCTGCGACACAATCCGGCAGCTGCCACGGCTGGCACGGGGTTAGCCGCATTTTTGCGCTGCCTGGAGAGTGATCAAGCTGATATACTGAACACTGCATTAGAGAGACTGTCAGAAATTGTGCTCTGTGCACAAGGTAAATTTATTCTTGTAACTTCGGAGCTGTGTTGCTAAAAGGGTTGCATTAGCATTTGTTTCTTACTAAGTTTATTTTAAATTGTCTGTTGGATTGAAAGAATCAGATTCGTAAACTGAGAAAAATTATTACTTGGATTATTGAATAGTATGTGAGCCTGTTTATAATATTAAGTTATTAGTATTTATGATAAACTGCCATCAGGTCTCAATAAATTGTTCTCATTCATAACCTCGCAGCAAGTGAATGTGACCCTTGATCTGGGAAATGTTGTAATTGATATTGCAACATTTCATACATTATAAATTTTATATGCTTATTTCACTTTCTAATAGTATGTTTTCTTCTTTTTTCTAGAACATGCTTTACCACTATTACAGAAGGTTTTCAACTTGGGAATGTGTTCAAATGTCAACACTGTTCCACACATCAGCAAAACCATAGCATTGCTCAATGTTCAAACCGGATGTTAAAATGCTGAACTATGAAGTGGCTTTATGTCCTGTTGTAAAATTCATTTAATTTTTAAGAACTTTCTGACATCAAAATATATTTGATATTGTTTATTTATGTTATTGTTTACCACACTTTTAGTCCTTACACTTGCATTTACAGATAATCTAGCTCTTCACTGTTTACCGACAATTCAGTGGTGCTTGCTGCCTCTATCATAAGGTAATGATTATCCCTGATATATTTTTGTGAAGTATGCTTAAATGTTAAGCTTGATATCATTCTGATTTATACTTATAAATGATTTTGTATCAGCCTTACATCTGATCAGGAGCTACTGTTGTTAACAGGATAAAGATTTTAGGTTATGTTCATGTACAAATTCCCAACTCGGATTTCTTTACTGTGCTAGGTTTAGCAGAGAGAATCAGTTGGTTATGAGTAGTGATAGGAGGGTGAAGAAAATTGCAAAATGGGTTTCATAAGTTGAATGTGTCAGATATTACTAGGTTGATAAAGGAAGCTGTGATGGGTGCACCATGTGGCACAAGTGCATGAACAATTTAGGTTAGAAAGCCTGAAAAATACCGCTTGGAATATCTAGGCATAGATAGGAGGAGAATATTAAGTGCATATCAAAGAAATTTGGTAGGGGGCATGGACTAGATTGTTCTGGATCTTGCGAACACGTTATTGAACCGTAGAATTACATGGAGGAGTTCGAGATCGACTGAAAAAGAAAATCTGGGTGCTGATCCAGCTACCGTTGTCAAATCCGGAATTGAAAATAATTATTTTTGTATAGATGGCAGTAAAATCTATATTTCCAGCGTTGGTATAAGATTGGTCTCAGATTATAGGACTACGGTTATTGATGTTAACATTCCGTGATCATGTTGCTGATACTCGCTGTTCTTGTATTCAATGTGGGGGTGGAAGGTGTTGCGTAGTTTATTTTAAAATAAAAAAATACCTCAAGGTTGGATTTAAAAGTTAGAATGTCATCGGGTATTTGTGTTGTTATATAATAACTTTTATATTAGTGCTTCTGGCGATTTTGTATCTCAATATCTTTAAAGATGTCAAACTTCGAGAAATGTCGTTACAGAAGACCGCCGAATTCGCATTTGAGGAGGGTAAACCCACTTTTCCATATTCAGAATCAAGAGGCAGATTCAAAGGAGCTGTCATCTCATATAATTAAACTTGCATGGAAAACTGGTCGGTTAAATCTAAGTGATAGAGGACTTGCTTCAGGTACTGGAACATTTTATTTAACAATTAACTCGATTGCAATGTTAAATTGCAGTGAACTATGTAGTATGTATAAAATTAAATCAATTCACTTTTTTCTTGTATGTTAATGTTGAAGCTGTGCTGTGTTACAGTTTTTAGAACTGGTGTTTTGGGTGTATGAAAGTGTTTGACTTGTCAGATACAGTAACTTTTATTTTTAATTTATACTGTGTTGAAATTGTGGGGGTAATGATGAACCGTGCACCATTTTCAAACTTCTAGTTCATGGACTACTGCCAGGCCATCTTAATTTATGTTGGTTCATAAATTGTTAAGAGAGTTATGCTGTGTATCTTATACCATATCTGGAAAAATTAAAATTTTACATCCAGCAAATATTAGATGTTTAGACTATTATTTCTGCTTTCCTATGTGAGACAAGTATCTTACTGGTCCCTTGTTATTTTACTGGGCCAAGAATCAGAAATGACTCAGAATCACAGCATTAAAGGAACGTTGTTTTCAAGTGCCCACATCAGAACTGACTGATTTTGAAACTTATTTGCAGTTCCAGAGAAGGTTTGGCAGATAGATCAGTTGGATGAAGCAGAAGTTCGTCTACTTGAGGTTAGAATGGACCGTGATGTGGATGGAGACAAATGGTGGGAACATGAACCACTAACATGGCTTGATCTGAGTTTAAATTGCATCACTGAAATATCTCCTAAAATAAGGAATCTTGTTACATTAACTGTGTTAAATGTAAGCAGGGTGATTTAGTTTGTCTTTAAAACTTTATTTTGAACAGTGTGTTTAGAATGCTGTGTGCATGTTGTACTGAACGTAAGAAGTTCTGAAGAACTGTGTGACATAAGACAGCGCAGAGTACGCTTGAAGGAGCTTGTACAGCAGAGCTCATAATTAATTAACCCTGTAAATAGTAGAAATCAAAGGTTCATTGCTCTAATATTGAACAGAATCATGAGCAGTTTCAAACACCCACTAACCTTGCATTTAATCTATTTTTTTCTTATTTGTTTGAAACAATAATTAACCTCACATTCTTCCTTAATTTGAAGCTAAGAAATGCATTTAGTGGGAATTAAAATGCATGGAGGACAAAGGAATGATTCTGCCATTGGAAAGTGGATTCATTGCTGTTGATTAATTATACAGCCGCGTGATTGTCATGTTGCATGCGTGTTACCCGCAGCTTCACAAGAACAACCTGGACGGTGTTCCTGCAGAGCTGGGGTGCCTTACCAAGTTAACGTGTCTGAACTTGAGTCACAACAAATTGCGCACGCTTCCACCAGCGTTCTTCAAGCTTTGCGAGTTACGTTCCCTTCAGCTCGCTCACAATCAGTTGGAAGATGTAACTGATGATGTAGGTGATTTCATCATGCTTGAAAATTTGGTAAGAATAATTTGTTTACATTTTCACTTTCTGATTAGAAAATAATGCAATTTTTTCTGTACTTTTTGTCGCATTTCTTATTCACTATTATAATTTTTAAGGTGTTTGGTGTAAAGCAGTTGTCTGTGATTGAGAATAATGAATCCGAAGGGTGAAGAGGGAATAGATGCCATTATTTTAAGGCACTCTTGAGTTCATCCTGTTTTTGAGAAACTGCAGGTAAAGCAGTAAATCTGACGTATGTGCAAATGATGTTATTACATACCTCAGTTATAAGAGTTCCAGTTCCTGAATGTGTACTCATTAAGTGTGAGAACTCATTGTTCATAGTATATTGCATTATAGTTGAACTTGATTTGACAAAAGATCACATTTTAAAAAAACATTCATTAACATAAAATAATTTAAAACAAATGTTTAAATGTTAAAACCTTCCCTTGTAGATAAGTTAAATCAATGTACAATGAGGTATACTTCACATTTACTACATCATTATACGTAATTATATGTAATTAATCCTTTATGTCACTAATTCTACTTCATACTTGGTATGTGGATTTAATTTTCGTGTCTGTACTGTCATTATTATCATCATTACCAATTTGTACATCCATCATCACTGTTTGTAATATATATAAGTGTAAGTTCAGTGTAACGTCGCCGCTCTCCATCCTGGGCTAGTGCTAACTGCATCACATGCTGTAGATTCCAGTACTGACACAGTCGAACCAGTACGACTGCATCAAGGGAAGATACTTCATGTAAAATGAGAAACGTGCACTCATTGGAGTATCGTCTCACCGAAATCACCGACGCTGAACGTCTGAAATTGGAAAGTTTTGCAAGGATGTGAGATATAATATTTTCATTTGTCAGAAATTTTCCGTCAGTCTAGTACGTGGCACTCGGAAAACACGGAATGGGCTCACATTTTTGTCAGGTTTAACCTAACATTTATGAAACTAATATGTTGCAGGATATATCGCACAATTGCTTGAGTACCTTACCCCCTGGTATTGGTTTCCTAACTCGTCTAACACAGCTAGACGCCTCACATAACAAACTTGCAGAGATTCCACCCGATATTGTCAGCCTCAGGGGTTAGTATTGCAGAAATAATAAAACTGTATTCTGCATGTGAATAAGAAACATAAGAAAATCTTCTTTCTTTAATGGATGCTATTTCTTTTGCTAACTTTTATCGTAATTTCAAACTACATGTAAGACTTGCAGAGTGTATGTAATGTACATATGTTATTGCTCTATGAGTGTTTCTGGAGTGGTGTGCTTGTGAATTATTTCAAATTTCTTAAGTACTGTGCCTTTGAGTGTGTTGCAAGTATTCTTCCAATATTTTTCATCAAAGTACATTTACTTCTAATTAATTTAAATGTTTGCTGTTTCTTGCGTTTCATTAACACAGTCACGTAATGTTTAGTAAGTATGGACTAAATTTGTAATGTAAATAATAAAACTTTCTCAGTGTCTGGAAATGGTCATTTTAAATCTAACTCTGGTGTTTAGACCCTAAAGATCAATGCCGTAGTACCGAAGAAGCTTGCTGTTGGTCATGATCTGATGTAGTTACTGTCCTCATAGCCTTTGTCTTCTTGGTCTTCCAACTGGTGATTTTCCAAGAGTTCTCCTCAATCCTGCCAAATTGACCAGCACATTGTATCATCATCAGTGTTGCCATTTTAACGATTGTAGATTTTCTGTACATTGCATAAGGTTCTTGTCTTACTGCTTGTTCTCCGTGCGTTTAACATTTACATCTGTCGAGTTCTTGGGGTCTGTAGCTCTGTAACTGCTAATCAGTAAAGATTTTACATTTGTTTATATTTTGTAAAATTTTTATTATGATTTAAATGTGTAATTTTCTTGTTCTTGTAAATCTGTGGTATTTTCATGCAATGTAACTTATTCCAGTTTTGTGTAAACTGGATCTGAGTGACAACCAGATAAACCTCTTGCCCCCGTTGGGCGATCTGAGGAAGCTGGAAGTATTGTTCCTTCAGCACAACAGGCTGGTCAATCTCCCTGATGTGACCGGGTGTTTGGCACTCAAGGAACTGCACCTAGCGGGCAACACTATTAAGGTCTGGGTCACCTCTGTCCTCATGTATTTGTCTTCTGTGTCGTGTCTTTCACGGAAGTTCGTTCTTTAATTTGCCTGATATCGGCATCGCTTTCCTCTATTATTTAATGTAAATATGTAGGCTTGCATGTATATGAATGTGTGGCGTTTCTTCTTCATACACTGTTAAGATATACTAATAGCAACAAGCAGTGATGTTTTCTAAGAGCAGCGCTGATAGTGACAGCATCGTAAATGTATGGATTTTGAAATGGAGGACATTTTCCTTTTCTGTAAGTACAAGTGTGTGTGTACACTGCATTTTTTTATGTGCTGTTAGGATTTTGTACTAATGCCAAATCATGACATTTCTATCTTTGGAACTTCTAAGTATTGATCTAGAGAATGTTTTTTTACATAAACTCCTTGGGTCCGACAGAGTGTTCTTGATACGCTGATAGCTATTCAGCTGGTAGGTAGGAACCATGCTTTTATTGAACATAAAATTTTATCATTTACTGTCTGTGGTTTTTTTGTTTTGTTTCTTGTTAATCATTATCATGAGTGAAACAGCAGAAGTACAATTTGAGAAATTACATCTTTTACTAATTTCTTTACACTTGCTCTGAAGAAACATAATTCAGTGAAGTTTGCAGAAGACAACATGCAAATTATTCTGAAATTGTCTTTATCCGTAATTAAATTGCTATCAGAATATGATTAAGCTTGTAGATCTAGAGAGCTTGTGCTTCGAGAATGTCATTGTGACTTTTTAAATTGCATGAAAAGTTTACTTCGTGTGTCACGGCAAAAGTTTTTGTGTATATTTTCAGTTTTGCCATTAGTCCAATTGAAAACAGTTACAGTAAGTCACATGTCTTTATGTAGTATATAATTTTCTTACTTATATGCATTTATGTATTTTTTTAATTTGGTGAGATTTTTAGTGTTCAGAACGCAGATGTGTATCTCCAGTGTGTCTGCTAACTCCTTTCATTCCCCATCTATTTCTTATGCACGTACGACATGTTATACTTCAAGTGACAGACTTAACTCCTTCATGTGCATAAGTAACAGCACAATGTTATGTGATGCTAAATAATTGTGTACTGCTTGCCATCCTTACAGTAATCATCACATTCTGCAAGTGTGTGATCGGGTTTCAGTTTGTGAAACTCCTTAGGTACAGGAAGTTTGTAACAACAGTCGCTCTGCAACATTTCACTTTCGTGTCAAACTATTCTTGCATCAGGAGCCAAAAATGCTCGTCACTACTCGTAGATTTACTGCCTTCGTTCTTTCATAAGGTGCAAGTTTGTTGAATTTATGTTGCATTCATTGTAATGGTTAAAATTAAAAGTTCATTACTTATTGCTTGACAGGAGATTGATGTTGAGGTGTTTGAAGGTTTGTCACGTTTGCGAGTCTTAAACCTTCGAGATAACACACTTACGTCTCTCCCAGAAGAGATCTCGGCGTTCCAGCTTCTGGCAAGGTTGGATCTTACGAACAACCATTTAACCATGTAAGTTGGTGGAATTTAAAATGGATGTTGAGCATGACTTTTATACAGTTACATTTATTTTTATGCTTTTGTTCATAATGGTTGGTAAACCATACACGAAGAATGCTTACTCACTGTGAGCCGAGGGAAGCCTGCTGGGGGGTAGTAGCAGGAGATGGGGGTGATCTTGCTGCGCATGTGCACTCCACCTGTTCCTGTTCCAAACACACTGTACTCCATTAGTCTGCAGTAGTGCGGTGTATTACGTGTACAAATAGTGTTGCAGGGCTAGACACATGATGTGTGTAAGAGTGCAGTGTAGCCATTAATACACACCGCACTCCCAGTGGATCTCTCATGGCTCATGGACACACACAATGAAATGTTACAACTAAGTAACAGTATGGATAAAATCAGGGATGCTGATGATTTATGGGAATGATAGTAACCCATTTTTTATACTGCATTTTCATATATGGGACTAAAAAATGTTTTTTATTCTTAAGTATCGCAGTTGGCTAACTTTCTGAAATTACTTGTTTCTTTTATAACAATTTTTATTTCTTTTCTCTCCAGGTTACCTGATAGTTTGGGTTTTTTGCCTCATCTGCAGAGTGTGCAGTTAGAAGGAAACCCTCTTCGTTCAGTTCGGAGAGACATAATTCAGTGTGGAACTACTCGACTTTTGAGATTTCTCCGTGAACGTTTCAAAGACGAAGGAAATGTTAATACGGGATCTGACAGCTTAATTTCAGCAAAAGAAGTAAAATTTCCTGACAGGTATCATAGAGTAAATTAGTTAATTTTAAAAGTATGCAGTTCTTGAGCACAAATTTTCATCACACTCTTGACAGTTCTCCGGTGGATAATTGGTACTTTGAATATTTGCCAAATCCAAATTAGACAACATTATGGTCCATTACTTTTAGACATAAGTTGTTGCAGTAAATATTTACTAAAGCCTAAAGTTATTTCTGGATATTAGATGAGGTGACTGATGAAATTATGTTGTTTCATTAATTTGAATTAAAAAGTTGTGTTTGAAATCGTTTATTATGTTTGTTCTGGCGCAGATATGTGATGAGGAATAGTCGAGCTTTAAGTCTAGCTATGCAAGAACTTACAGAGATTCCGGACTCTGTTTTCCAGGAAGCCGTGGAAGCCGAGGTTACTTCTGTTGACATTTCCAAGAACAAGTTAAAAGAAGTACCTGTTGGGTAA